CTGATAGATTCTAGCATTACTGTATTGTCAGAAGCCTTAATTCAAGTCTTTAGATATTTAATAAAATCATGTAAAAACTGAAATTTGATGTATTTGTCTTGATTACTCTGAACAAAGTGCTTCAAACTTTGTGATGCTTCAGGATGAAAGTTGGTTTAAATGATATTTGAATCTAAATGTGGTTTAAAATGTTTCTTGATGCTAAAGCCTTTTGTAGTTCCTATTTTCAAAGTAATATTAGCTATATTTGATCTTCTAGATGAAGAAAGATTTCACTATGATTAAATATGTGCAGTACCATCTTGAAATAAATTTTATTCATAAATTAATAAAATATGTGCAACATGATTTTGGAGAAAATATTTTAGGCCATTAAATTTAGTTACGTAAGCTACAGTCTGTTTTAAATTCTGTGCAACTAAAATCTGTTTTGCTTTAAAAAGAAAAAATGTTCAAATTTCACTGGAAAATGTAGAGTGGTTTTTTTCCCCCAAGACCATCAAAAGCATATCCCATCACACATTTAGGAAATTTTTGAAATATTAGATTTAGCCTTTCCACTTGACTGTTGTTAATTGTCTAATTTTCTTATCTGTACTTAAAAGTACTCTGATACCTACTTAAAAGTAACATTGATTTGGTTACATGTTTCTTTTACCTCTTTGGTTCAAATGTAATTTTTTTCTCTACTATGGAATAAACTGAAAGTAAAGGACCTAGCACAATCCCTGGCACGTATTTGGAATCAATAAAGATCTTCATTCTTAGCCATGGATTGTAAAGGTATTGAGAAAACAGTACCAAGAAAAATTAAAGAGCTTAACTTCCATTCTGAATCTGCAAGTGTCTTTTTCTAAAAATAAGGATTCAAATTAATGCATGGTGTTGTAGGCAGAATCCTGTGATGGCGTCCAGGATTCTGGGTCTCCTGGAGTGTACACTTATAAAGTCTGTCCTTGAGTGTGAGTGCAATCTGTGAATATGATGTAATAGTCCCTCCCTTGATGTGGTTGCATTAAATGGCAAAGGTGCTGGTATAATCATTCCTGAGATAATTTTATATAATATGACTCCTTAGCAGACTGGAAAAATGTAATACATGTATCACCTCCAAAAACTTCATCATGCATCTTTGTCAGCTCTCCCTCCTGTTTCTGCCTGTCTCTGCTTCATTCCCAAGCCAGGCAACCACTTATCTACTCTCTATAACTATAGATATTTACATATTCTAAAATGACATAAAGGGGAAGACATAGTATGTGCTCTAATTTCTTTTAATCTACACAATTTGAGTTTCATTCATATTTTTACATACATTGTTATTTCAATCCTTTTTATTGCTGAATAGTATTCCATTTTATGAATAATTTGAGTTGTTTCCAGTTTTTGGCTGTTGTAAATAAAGTTGCTATGAACATTCATATACAGGTCTTTTAACAAAAATAGGCTTTCTTTTCTCTTGGGCAGATACCTAAAAGCAGACTTGCTGCATCACACGGTAATTATCAATTTGGTTTTTAAAGAAATTGTCAAGTTCTTTTCCAAAGTGGTTTTACAATTTTACATTCTATGTGCACTAATAGTTCCATTTCCTCATCATCACCAATATTTAATATAGCCAGGCTCTTAAGTTATAGCCATTTAATGGTTTGTGGTTTCCCTGGCAGTGGTCCCCAACCTTTTTGGCACCAGGGACAGGTTTTCATGGGAGACAATTTTTCCGTGAGTATGGGGGGCAGCAGGAGGCAGAACTCAGGCAGTGATTCAAGCAATGTAGAGCAGCTGTAAATACACCTGCTCACCTGTCCTCTGTCATGTCCTGCTGTGTGGACCCCAGGTTCCTAAGTTTCATGGAAGACAATTTTTCCACAGACGGGGTGTGGGTGGTGGGTGGTGGAGCTCTAGAGCCTGGTCCTTAACAGGCCGAGGACTAGCACTGGTCTGGGGACTGGGGACTGGGGCTGCAGGGCTAGAGTCAAAGAATAAGGATGGAGCTCATAGCAACCTGCACAGCAGCCAGGATGAATTGCTTTGCCTTTCAGTCAATGGAGGCATCACACCAGAGAAATTAGCCATCAGCACACCGTGCTGCCAGAAACACAATTCGCAGATCTTCCAGGCCTGAATCTGTAGCTAGATTCCCTACATAACCTGGGTGCTCTCATCAAGTCTTCCCTAGGCCCTATTTTAAAGAAGCAAAGAGGCTAGACAGGCTTGACCCAGGAAGACAAGCAGCAGATCCACTCAGCCAAAAATCTCACCCAGTGACCACTCCCAGAGAGGGAGAATCCCACCTTGGTGGGTTTTAAGATTCAATCTTACATTTCTAAGAAGCATAGCCTCTGGTCCCTCCTGTTCATAGCACTGACTCTGCCCACCCTCAAAGCTCTCAGCCTGTAACTACATTCAACTGCAGATCCCAAACAGTGAAATTCCCTGGCCAAGGAATGCATCTTGCAACTGGCCTGACTGGAAGCCATCACAGTATCCAGCCAGTATCTCTGCCTGATAGCAGAGTCCAGCCAATGGTCTCACTGGGCAGTGAAGCCCAGCCAGTGGTCCTATCCAACATCTTAGCAAAGGCAACAGCCCAACCAATAAGAGAGCTCAACACAAGCTCTGCCTGCCTGAGGTTGTCACCAGCAGGCCCTTCCAGAATCCCAGGCTGAACCCCAAGGAAAATGAGATCTATAAAATGACAAAAAATACAGATCAATGTTCATAAAGAAGTTCAGTAGACTACAAAAGTATGTGGACTAAAATATTTACTAAAATTTGTAAAACAAAAAGCAAGAAGCTAAGAAATAGAAACAATAAAAAAGATAGAAATCTTAGAAATGAAGAATACAATGACTGAGTTGAAAAATTCAATAGAAAATTTCAACAGCTGATTGAATCAAGTAAAAGGAAAAAAAAAGAATTGGTAAGCTGAATGACATCACATTAGAAATTATCCAGTCAGAAAAACAAAAAGATAAAAGAATGAAAAAGAATAAAGAAACAGCAATTATGGGACATCATCAAGAGACAAAACTTTTGCCTAATAGGAGTTGCAGAAGGAGAAGAAATAGAAAAAGGGCCAGAAAACATGAAATTTATAACTGAAAACTCATCTGGAGATAAGGGCCAACACCCAAGTACAAGAAGCACAGAGATCTCCTATCAAATTCCTACCAAAGAGGAGTACAGCAAGGCATATAATACTCAAAGTATCAAATATCAAAGACAAAAAAATTCAGAGAGCAATGAGATAAGAAACACATTACATACAAATGTATGTCAATATGACTATCAGTAGATTTCTTAGCAGAAACCCTGTAGGCCAGGAGAGAGTGGACTCAACCAAAAATACTTTATCCAGCAAAGCTATATTTCAGAAATGAAAGAGAAATAAAAACTTTTCCAGACATCAAAAGCTAAGAGTGTGCATCACCACTAGAATTCCTTGTAGCTGGGGTCCCCAACCTCCAGGTTGTGGACTGGTAACAGTCTGTGGCCTGTTAGGAACCGGGCCACCCAGCAGGAGGTGGGCAGTGGGTGAGCAAGGGAAGCTTCATTTGTATTTATAGCTGCTCTCCATTGCTCACATCACTGGCTGAGCTCCGCCTCCTGTCAGATCAGTGGTGGCATTAGATTCTCATAGGAGCACGATCCCTACTGTAAACTGCGTGTGTGAGGGATCTAGGTTGCAGCTCCTTATGAGAGTCTAACACCTGATGATCTGGGGTGGAGCTGGGGCAGTGATGCTAGCACTGGGGAGCAGCTGCAGATGTAATAAATTTAATGTGCTTGAATCACTCCAAAACCGCCCCCACAACCCGGTCCATGGAAGAATTGTCTTCTATGAAACCAATGCCAAAAAGTTTGGGGACCACTGTTCTTACTGACTCATGTGGTCTAGACCTGCCTTTACTTCAACATTTTCTCTGGGACAGAGAAGGGAGTGAGCCTCCTGTGAAGGATCTCAGAATGGTAGGGAAACTGAATGTCCAACTTTAACTCAACTTTTCTCACCGTGGGCTTAGGGAAACTGTCTGTGTGTGGAACCGTGCCAGCTTTGGGGAGCAGTGCCATGGTCAAAGAGCACTATTGCTCTTACCATCTGATTGTGGCTATCCTTGGTTTTGTGGTCCAAGAGGGTGTTTTAACCTTACCCCTGAGTTATGGAATATTTGATATGATATTTTTGTCTGTGAATAGTTGCTAGTTGGATTTTTGTGGCGTTCAGTGAAGCCAGAGAACTCCTATTCAACCATTTTGCTGATGTCACTCTTGGATATGTTCTATCTTGATCAATGAATATTCCATATGCTCTTGAAAATGTGCATATTCTGCTACTCATGGGTGGAGCATTGTATAAATGTCAACTAGGTCAAACTGGTTCATAGAGTCCTAATTTTCTATATTATCATTTATTTTCTATATTCTTTTTATGTTAATTATTGCAAGTAGTGTATTGGCCTCTCCAACCATAATTGTGGATCTATCTATTCCTTCTTTCAGTTTTATTTGTTTTTGCTTCATGTGTTTTGAAGCTCTGTTTAATAAGTGCAGAAATGTTTAGGTTGTATGTCCTCTAGATTAATTGCTTTTTTTAATCATTAGGTAATAATCTTCTTTATCCCTGGTGATATTCTTTACTCTAAAATTTTCTTTGTGTAATATTAATATAGCTACTCCAACTTTGTTTTGATTAGTGTTAACAGAGCATGTCTTTAACTATACTTTTTGTTTTGACCTGTTTGTGTCATGATAGCGTAAGTACCTTTCTGGTAGATAGCATAAAGTTGGGTCTTAACATTTTATCCAGTTAGGCAATCTATGCCTTTTAATTAAGGGATTTAGACCATTTACATTTAATGTGATAATTAATATGTTTAGGTTTAAGTCTATCTTTTTTCTCTTATTTGTTTTCTCTGTATCATATGTCTTTTTATTCTTTTTTCTCTTTTTTATGTTTCTTTGGATTAATTGAATATTTTTATGGCTTCATTTTATTCACTTTGTTGTCTTTTTTATTTTAAAAGTTGCTTTAGGGTTTATAGTATACATTTATAGTAGGTTGAGTAAAAGCCCCCAAAGATATCTAGTAAACCTCCTATTAGGCCTCACCTCCAACATTTGGGATCAAATCTCAACATGAGATTTTGAAGGAACAAACATCAAAACTGGAAACTGTAAGTGTTATCTTATTTAGGAAAAGGACTTTTGCAGATGTTATTAAGTTCAAGATCTTGAAATTAGGAGATTATCTTGGAATATCTGAGTGGGCCCTAAGTGCAATTACATGTATCCTTATAAGAGGAGCAGAGGGATATTTGACACACAGGGATAAATAGATGACTTGATGATGGAGAAAAAAGATGTTTGAAAATGGTGGCCTCAAAGATGCAAGTGATGCAGTCACAAGGCAAGAAATGCCAGCAGCAGTGGAAGGTGGAAGAGGCAGGGAATGGATTTTCCTCTAAAGCCTCCAGAGCAAGAATGGCCTGTCAGTACCTTCATTTACCCAGTGATACTATTTTCAGACTTTTGGCCTCCAGAACTCTGAAAGAATAAATTTCTGTTGTTTTCACACCAAGTTTGTGGTGATTTGTTATGACAGCTCTAGAAAACTAAAATAACATTTTAAATTTAGTCTAATTTCCAATAATATTATACTACTTCTGTAGTATATAAGCCATACAATATTATACTCTATTTCTTCCCTCCCAGCCTTTCTACTACTATGACCATGGATTTTACTTATAAAGTATAAATTTCATAATATATTATTAATTATTAGTTTTATTTAAATAGTTAATTATCCTTTTAAAATATTTAAATAATAAGAAAAATATCTTCTACATTTGCCCTTGTAGTAACTAGGTCTGGTGTTAATTCCTTTGTGTAATTTCATATCTCCATTTGGTATCATACTCCTTTTTTCTGAAGGACTTCCTTTTACATTTCTGGTAATAAATTGTTTCAATCTTTTGTATGTCTGAAAAAGTATTTTTGCCTTCATTGTTTGACAGATATTTTTGCTGGGTATAAGATTATATGTTGATAGTTTTTGTTTTCAGCTATTGTCACTCCACTACAAAGTATTGCTCTGTTTTCTGTCTTAGTTTATTTAGTGTTGCTAGAAAGGAATACCAGAGGCTGAATAATATATAAAGAAAGGAGATTTATTTGGCCCATGTCCTGAGGGTCATATGAGGAGCGTGGTGTCGGCATCTGCTTCCGATGAGGGGTTCAGGCTGGCACAGCAGGGCTGGCAGGTGCAGCGATCACATGCAGAGAGGGGAAGCAAGGGGGTCAGGTCAGGCTCTTTCAACACCAGCTCTCGTGGGAACTAACAGAATGAGAGCTCACTCACCCCTCAGATGGCAGGCATCTATTCATGAGGGGTCCACCCCCAAACCCAAACACCTCCCACTAGGTTCCACATCCGATATTGGGGATCAAACTTCAACACGAGATTTGGAGAGACAGACATCCAAACTGGAACAACTGTCTTCGTGTTTCTTACCAGAAATAAGCTGTCATCCTTTAGTCGTCCCCCCTGCACATATGCATCTTTTTTCCCCTCTTGGTGTTTTAAAGATTTTCTCTTCATCGTTGGTTTGGGAAATTTGATCTGAGTTGGTGTCATTTCCTCCTTATTTCTTGTGCTTGGGGTTCACTGAAATTCTTGGGTCTGTTCATTTATAGTGTTCGTCAAATTTGGAAAATCTTCAGCCATTATTTCTTCCAATATATTTTCTTTCCCCTCTTTTGTATCTTCTCCCTCTATGCCTTTAATTATATGTAATTAGGACTTTTGAAGTTGCCTCACAGCCACTGATATTCTGTTCATGAAAAAATTGTTGTTTTTTTACTGTATATTTCATTTTGGATGAAATAGTTTCTATAATATTTCTATTGCTCTATCTCAAATTCACTAGTCTTTTCTTCTGCATTGTCTAATTTACCACTATTTCTATTCAGTACATTTTTTCCTCTCAGAAATTATAATTAATATATATATAAGTTCAGTTTGGGTCTTTTAATGTCTTCTATGTCTTCATTTAATGTGTTAAATTATTCCTTTAGCCTTTTGAACATATGGAATACAGTTATAATACCTTTTGAAATGCTTTTGTTTGCTAATTCTAACATCTGTGTCAATTCTGGATTGGTTTCAATTAGTTAACATTTCTCCTCATATGGGTCATACTTTTCTGTTTGTATGTTTGGTAATTTCTGATTAGATGCTAATCATTGTAAATTACATTTTGTCAAGTGGTGGGTATTTTTGTGTTTCTATAAATATTCTGGATTTTTTTCCTGGTACTCAGTGAAGTCACTCCAAATCATTTTGATTCTTTTGGATCTTACTTATTACATTGTTAGGCAGAATGAGACCAGCGTTTGATCTAGGGGTAGTTTATGCAAACTACTGAGGTGTGACCTTTCTGACTGCTCTAGCCAATGCTTTGTGAATCATGGAGTGTTCCTTTCTGACTTGTGGGAAAAGGCACTGTGCTTTGTGTGCGTGCCAGGTACTATTTCCTCTAATACTTTTGGGAGGTTCTATCCCAACCTAGGATAGGTTCTTGAAACGTATCTGCTGATCAGTACCCTATTGACTATTTGAGAGAAACCCACTGAAGATCTCCAGCGTTCTTCCTGTCTGTGGATCTCTCTACCCTCCATACTCTACATTGCAAATATAGAGCCTTGGTCTGTGTCTTTGTGATTCCGGAAGTCCTCCCGGCTCTGCCTGGAGTCCCACTCTCAGAAATATGATCTGGAAACTCTCAAAGGAGTAAGCTGGGAAAAACACAGGGCTCACTTCATTTCTTTCTTATCTCTCAGGGTTTACTTTTTTCCTTTATGTTCAAATTTATGAAAACTTTTTTCCCCATTTAGTTTTTCTGGTATTTTAGTTGTTTCAAGGGGGAAGATAAATCCAGTTCTTGTTACTTTATCTTGGCCAGAAGCAGGAGCTTCTGATTAAAAATTTAATTACTGATTGAAAAAAAAATTTTTTTTGAGACAGAGTCTCACTTTGTTGCCCAGGCTAGAGTGAGTGCCATGGCATCAGCCTAGCTCACAGCAACCTCAAACTGCTGGGCTCAAGCAATCCTGCTGCCTCAGCCTCCCGAGTAGCTGGGACTACAGGCATGTGCCACCATGCCTGGCTAATTTTTCTATATATATTAGTTGGCCAATTAATTTCTTTCTATTTACAGTGGAGACAGGGTCTTGCTCTTGCTCAGGCTGGTTTCAAACTCCTGACCTTGAGCAATCTGCCCGCCTCGGCCTCCCAGAATGCTAGGATTACAGGCGTGAGCCACCACACCCAGCCTGATTAAAAATTTTTATCTGCAAAAGTCATATAATAGCTTAGGGTCATAATTTTTTAACCTATTAAATTTGGATTTTAATAGTAAATGCTAGTTTTTCCCAATTACTCTATAAACTAAACTGATATCGATAACCATATAATTGTACAAAAAAAGTCTTTCTTTGACATTTAAAAAATAATTTTAATGATGGTAAATATATTAATTAAAAAAGGCATTCTAGGTATTTTTTAGCATACTATTAAATAAAACTGCTTATACTATTAAATAAAACTGTCAGCTTTTATCTTTTCTCCCTTAAAGGTAAGAGTACAAAAAATAACTTTGAATGTGTTGATAAGTGTCCATTACTAGTAAGTTATTTTTCATATCTCATGAAAATAATTATTGTGTGTACCAGGTAATTATGGACTTTATTAATTGTAGTAGTTACAGTGGTAAAGAAAGAAAATTTGGACAGAAGTGATCTGAAAACATAATAACTGGAAGTATGATTATAAATTTTCTTTAAAATATAAAGCCTTTGATCTTAAACATTAGTTTAGGTAGCAGGAAACCTCTGCATTTGGAAATAATTTTTTTTAGGTTTAATGAAAATAATTTTGTGTGTCTATGTCTGTGCTTGCTTTCTTGTTTCAAGAGCTGCTTTAAATTAAGACACCTTGCTCATTCAAATAAAAGAAAGCCTTGGCCTTAAGTGATGGAAAATTAGAAATTTGATGGCTTACTTACATTGATATAAAAAAAAAGAATACAAAAACAGTGGTGGATATTCCTTTGATTTTGCCAGTACAGGGTGAAGTTAGGATGATTAACAACATTCTGTGCACTCTAGGTGTATCACCAGAAAAAGTAATGCTTCAGACATTATGAATCTTAATATTTTGTCCAGAAATGCATTGATAAGCCATAATTCATTTTTGGCATTATATGATATCATATGATGAAGTGTATTTCTGGGTATAAATAGTAATCTACAAGGAGTTTTTGGTTGTGATTAAGAAAACAACTTACATTATTGGTCTTGGATAGAAAAATTTTAGAACAAATTTAATGGTTATATTTGCTAATGAGAGTTGCACCGTAGCATCTTGGTGCAGCACAGCCATAGTGTTTTTTTTTTGTTGTTGTTGTTGTTTTTTTTTTTTTTTTTTTTTGAGACAGAGTCTCGCTTTGTTGTCCAGGCTAGAGTGAGTGCCGTGGCATCAGCCGCCTAGCTCACAGCAACCTCAAACTCCTGGGCTCGAGTGATCCTTCTGCCTCAGCCTCCCGAGTAGCTGGGACTACAGGCATGGGCCACCATGCCCGGCTAATTTTTTATATATATATCAGTTGGCCAATTAATTTCTTTCTATTTTTATAGTAGAGACGGGGTCTCGCTCTTGCTCAGGCTGGTTTTGAACTCCTGACCTTGAGCAATCCGCCCGCCTCGGCCTCCCAAGAGCTAGGATTACAGGCGTGAGCCACAGCGCCCGGCCAGCCATAGTGTTTTGTGCTTTGATAGCTTGCCGTTATGGCAGAAATTCTGTCTGCATGTTGGTCAATAGGCCACAAGTATGATGTCTGTTATAATAATTGGAGCGATTTTTTCCAATTTTGATTGGGTGATTTTACAATGGTGAATGAGTACGTGAATAAATTTAGAGCCAAATCAGGCGTGTAGTGAAAGAATGGCGGTTTTCTTCATTTATGAGTATCCTGGGACATCCCTTCCCCAGCCTGGAGACTCATCTGTGTCAGTTTCATCCCTCCCAGGCCTGAGAAGGAGAATTAAACCCACAAGAGCAACACTATTGTTCTGTGCAGAAAAGGCTGGTCGGCTAAGACGGCAGCTGCAGAATCAGTTGCATAGTGTCTACGTCACACAAGCTATTAAATACGACCCAAACAAAAGCAGCATTTGGTAATAAGAAAAATTTGTATAAAAACTCATTACTTATTTTTCTCCTGCTGCTGAAGCAGGCGGCGCTGCTGCTGTGGCCTGGAAATCTCATTCTTAGAAGGGCTGGGCTTCTCTGAAATGCAAAGGTAAAATTAGGGCTGAATTGGGCACCAAAATAGTGGTTTCACAGAGATTTTTAAAGCTTAGTAAAATGTCAATGATTCTCATGTGTGCCCAAGTGATCTAAGAGCAATAAGACCTGTGTCATAGTGTGCATCTTTCTCACTCAGGGAATAAGTCATTGGTTACTGTGGAGAAAACACAGACGATGCCTTATTTGGGGGAGTTAGGAAGTTGCTTATGTCTCTTTGAGGTGCTGTTGCCTCAATGCACTCTGAGATTGTAAGGCCCTATTATATTGTAAAAAAAAAAAAAAAATACTATAAAATGGAAACTACTATCTATCCAAACACACTGCTTTCTGTCTGAAAATAGCTTCTGATTCTTCTTTTAGCTTATTTCTATTTTTTAGCCAAGTGAGTTTTTTCTTGAAGTCCAAACTAAAAATGGAAATGGGGCCTGATTTGTGTGTCTACGTGTACATCTAGAGTTTGCTTCCTTTCCTTCTTTCCCCTCCGGCCCAGTCCAGCAGCATGTCCCGTGAGCCCTTCTGCAGAGCACGGCCCCACTTGCCTGCTTCCCTCCGTCTCCTCCACTCATGCCCTGCCAAGGGGCTGCCAAGCTTTGCACTGCCCTCACCCCCTCTACTGATTTCCCCTTCCTTTCATACTTAGTAGCAGATAGTGTAGCAGCCTGCTCTGGTGGCCATAACAGAATACCACAGACTAGGTGATTTATAAAGAAAAGAGATCCGTATCCATAGTTCTAGAGTCTGGCAAGTCCAGGCGCATGGTGTCAGCGTCTGGTGAGGGCCTTCTTGCTGTGCTATCCCATGGCAAAGGACACGGTCCTATTGGGTTAGGGTCCCACCATTATGACCTCACTTAACCTTAATTACCTCCCTGAAGACCCTGTCTCCAAACACAGCCACACAGGAGGCGAGGGCTTCAACAATGAATGAGAGGACACAAGTCAGTCCATAACTGTTTTCTTTAAAAGGATAAAATCAGGTCATGTTTCTTCCCTGTTTAAAACTCCCCAGTGGCTTTCCATTATTCTGGGAATGAAATCCAAACTCCATACCTTGACTTACAAAGCTCTGTGTAACCTGGTCCCTGTCTACCCGCCTTACCCAGGGCCATAATGTTGCATACTGCCAGGAACCATGGTTTTCTTCCCCACTCCTTCCTTCCTCTCCTCCCTCCTCCTTCCTCTCCTCCTCCTCCTCCTTTCCTCTCCTCTCCTCCCCCCTCCCTCCCTCTTTCGGACCAGAGTCTCCCA